GAAAGGCTGGAATATTATAATGAGCTAGAGCTAATGACGTCAGAAACTACCCACTCCTGAAACCTCCTGATTTATCTCCTGGATTCAGACTGAGGCGGCCCACAAAAACATGACTGAGTCATTTTTTTTCACACTTTGCCTGCTGATAGGCCCTCCACAGTCCCAAATGTACAAAATCAAATGATTAACTCATTGGCTGCCAAAGACGTCTATAGATGTCTTTTATGTTTTTCAATGAGAGTGGCTGGGGGACGATCTGCTAAAGCTTGTCCGTAAATATCGGCTTCTAGACAGAGTATGTAGTAACAAATTGACCCTCTAGGGGGCAGTGCCACTTTTGATGGGAGATGAGCATAGACTGTAGGCAAATAAGAAAAAGGGAACGGTTCTATGAGAGAACATGTCGCCGGTGAGACGCAAGTCCAGGAAGAACGGAATAAGGTAGAAACTAATTTTTTTTCCTGATGAAAGAAGAGAGTCTACTCTTTCTTTTGGCGTGTTCGGTGTTTACATAGTCATAGCACAAACTATTCTGTGGCTCTTGAAAAATCAGTCAAAATGCTCAAAAAACTCGGGCAGTGTGGGACTCTCTGTTCTGAAAATGGCTGGCAGTCAATGAGTTAAAAACTTGGTTTTGCATAATATGTCTCCTTTAAACTGGGCATCTAAAGATGTGTTCCACAGTGGGTCCAGAGCAGAGGTCAGAGGTCGGACCTGTGTGCTGAACTGCTGGCGGGTGGGCGGTACGTCGTAAATGTCCTGCTGGGATGGAGGCTGGTGTCTGGGCGGCACGTCGTACTCGTCCTGGTCCCCCTTCAGCGTGTCGTACACGTAAATCTGACCCACGCGAGTCGGGACCTTCACCTGGAGGAAGAAGCAGAGAAGATAGGAACGGCGGGTTAGAGACAAGGAAGTGTACCCCGCTCTGGTCTGTTAGCATGGGTTAGCTATAGTTAGCTTATAGTAGCTATAATTACTCACTTTAGCACAGTATGTTATAATTTAATCCATGTAAACAACTGATTGTCTTATTGTGAGAATGCCTACAGTCATTCTCACAATTGTTTTCCTGTTTCTCTTTATTATTCTTTATTCCGTACGTTTTTCTGCGTCTAACTACTCCTACACCTTTCAGCCTACTTCAACAAATAAGGTGTGAAAATGTTTAGCTATCTCAGGACTATGCAGATGTGACTTTTGGTGTTCAAATCTTTTCAACAGTAACTTTTTATGCCTTATCCCTCTCATTGAAATTAATTGAGCAAAAAATATTCCTCCCTCTGCTGGTCACTGGTATTTGAGCCAGATTTTTCCTATGAATTCCTCTGCAGCCTTTCAGCCTGTGTTATAGCTCAGTGGTCGAGTGCTTGACTGTAGATCTAGAAGTCCCTGGTTCAAATCATCTTGTACCTTATTCACTTAATCACTTAATTGTGAGAATGCCTACTGGTATTCTCGCTATTGTTTTCCTGTTTCTCTTTATTATTCTTTATTCCGTGCGTTTTTCGTCATCAAACTACTCCTACACCTTTCAGCCTATTTCAGCAAATAAGGTATCAAAATGTTCAGCTATCTCAGGACTATGTACCTATGACTTTTGGTGTTCAAATCTTTTCAACTGTTTAAGATATTCAACGTTTTATGCCTTATCCCTCTCATTGAAATGAATGGAGCAAAAATATGGCTCCCTCTGCTGGTCATTTCAGCCCCTTTAAAATTTTCCTATGAATTCCTCTGTATTCTCTCAGCCTGTAGTATAGCTCAGTGGTAGAACCTTTGACTCCAGATCTATAAGTTTCTGGTTCAAATCCTCTTGTACCTTATTGATCACTTAATAGTGAGAATGCCTACTGGCATTCTCACTATTGTTTTCCTGTTTCACTTTTTCTGCGTCTAACTAGGCCCACAGATTTCAGCCTATTTAAACAAATAAGGAATCAAAATGTTCAGTTCCTTTAGCGCTATGCAGCTATGTATTTTGGTGTTCAAATCCTTTATAAGTTATTTAACTTTTTCTGAGATCAATAAACTATTCAATCAGTCGATCAAAACAATCAATAAATTCATTCAAACGTATCAGATTTTATGCAAAAGGATTCTGAAAATGTTCCATCTCCATGTTTAATCATTTAATGGTTAAACCTTTGCTCAAAACCCTGTTGTACACAACCAGATATACCTGATATTAGAAGACTACACCACTCTAATGTTTACACATTGCGCATTCAAAATTTCCATCCATCATGTTTCTACAGGCTTCTCCCCAACTTTTTGTTTTTTTGTTTCATATTTTGTTGAATAGCCAAATGAAGGTTCTGTCTGTTAGAGCCCAGCTGATTAACTCTGCTTGTGACCAATAAATATCATATTTTTACTCTTGATCTGCTCTGGCTTCAACATTGCTCAACATTTCTCTCACTCCAAACGGAGGAAAAGGGGGAATGCCACCTCTTTTTGTGGCAGTCTGCAGCCCACAGATCAGAGATCAGACCCACGGGGCCTCAGTGGCTTCAGAGGGGCGGAAACAAAGCCGTCCTCATATTTGAACGAAAATGTATTGTGTAAACACCGACTGAAAAGAGACCAAAGGTTGCTCAGGTTGCTCCACAGGCCGATGGGGCCCGTCCAAACAGAGCGGGGCCCCCGTGGGAACCGGGCCGGCCCCATTGTGCGCCTGTTCAAACTCCGACTTAAACAGGCCGATCGCAAAGTCAACGTGTTCGTCTGTGAAACCACAAACTATCAGGTCGGGTCCCGGCCGAACAGTAGAGAAACAAAGAGCAGAAGAAAGACACACCTAGGGTTGTCACGATACTAACATTTTCAACTCAACACAGATACTCAGGAAAATACTCAATACTCAATACCGTTTTCACAATTTACCAAAAGGATAAAAACAGAGACCCCAAAATTTGACTGAATTTTGACAGGTTAGTGTCTTTGGTTTCAAACTGACCTGTTACTGATGTTATGGTGGCTCACATTAATGACCCTAACCTTAACCCTGACCCTAACCCTAACCCTAACCCTAACCCTAAACCTAACACTAACCCTCCACCCTTCATAATTATGAGAAATAAATATTTTTTGGTTAAGCTTGTTTGGACTTATTGTACAAACCTATTTAACATCCACTATTTTAACATAATATTATGTATAGAGTTTAATTAAGTGTTTGAAAGATTCATTTTAAATGATTAATTTACCATTTTCTTGCCTGGGATCTTCCTATTGGTGACGTAATCAAAATGGCCGACTTGGATGTGGGCGGAGTTGGATATGCACTTGATTAATGGTAGCATGTTGTTTTTAGCCATTAGCCACAGGTAGCAGTTCAAGGCTAACGTCTTGTTAATGATCATAAACAACGTAAATAAATACATAAATAAATCAGAGAGGGGGGGTGGTATCAATACTTTTGAAAATGAGTATCGTATCCAGATACAACATTTTAGTATCGATACTTTTGACAATCCTAGACACACCTGCTGAGACACATGTGGTCCAGATGCTTAAACCAGAACGGTACACACAGATTCGGCCATTTACATCTTTGGCCATCAATTTGTTTCTTTACTGAGAAAAGTCAAAGTCTTAGTTAAAAACCCTCCTCCTGCTGTGAACTTCTGAATGCAGACAGAAAAGTTGCTGCTTTCTCCTCATTTTAGGGGCGAACAAGGTTTTTACTGCATACTGATTCACACTCACACACACACACACACACACATTCTTGTATGTAACTCAGACTGAGGACCGAGTAAAAAGACTCACAAACTGAGGACCAGTAGTTCTGAGCGTCTTAGAAAGATTGATTAATTGATTGATTAATCCCACTAGGTGTCACACACACACACGCACACATACATACACACACACACACACACACACACGCACACACACACATATACACGCACGCACAATAAAGTGAGGACCAGGAAAATGTCCTCACTTTAAAAAAAAGGCCTCACTTTGGTTAAAAACTACTTATGGTTCTCACTCTGTTGCAGCAACAAGGACACACACACACACACACACAACACACACACACACACAGAATACACACCTTCAGATTCAGCAGAAGAATTAAATCTTAAAAAAGATTTTCACCACCAGAGTGAGACCTACTTTATCTGACATTTTAAGTGATTGAGAAGTAAATGTACTTAAGATTTGAAAAGAAATATTTCTTTCAGGTTGGACTGATAAATACACTGAAGAATACACAAACACTGAACTAAAAATGAAAGCTTGAGGTTGTGTCTGATTCATTACACACACACA